TACTGATGTGTATTGATGAAAAGAATTGCCTCACTGGAAATTCCCTATATTGATCAAAGAACAGACCTAGTTCAAAATAAAGGTCATTGGGCACATTAATATTTTGTCAAGAAATACGTAAATATAACAGGTAGCAATGGCCCCATGTTGATATTAGACCAATCTGTCTGACAAAAGCTTTAACAAAAACTTTCCTTGGAAGGAACTCTGCACATAGTAGGTTGTTTTCAGGATAATAGGCTTAACTGTTTTCTACTGTAGGCTTCCAAGAAAGATGACCTGGCAAAGTCAATAGAAGGCTGACTTTGTAGACAGGAAAAAACCTACATACCAGCTGTGTGACCTTGAGCCTTGACCTCTAGGTCCTCAAGCGGTCCTTTGACTGAATCCAAACTTCACAGTCAGTAGGCTGCACTTGAGGACCTAGAGGGTCACATGTGGCCTCAAGGCCACAGGTTCCCCACCCTTGGAGGGAAAGAAAAAAACAAAAAACAAATGAGGGACTAGTAGTAGGCATTGAAATGAGTGCCCTAGCTTAAGATGTAACCCCTGCCTTGGTATATGTCTGAGAATGAGTGGAGGTAAAGCAAGTTGAGGTAGCAATGAATAGAGTGTTGAACTGAGAGTCAAAAAGACCTGAGTTCAAATCCTGCTTCATTCATTAGCTAACTGTGTGACCCTAAGTAAGTCACTAAAACTCTCCGTGCCTTAGTTTTCTCATCTGTAAAATAAGGGGATTAGATTCAATGGCATCTAAGATTCTTTCTAGCTTAAAATCTATGGTCCTAAAAATTCACACCTACGAACTGTGAAAGGATTGTTATTTTTAAAGACCAGACCCGTGCTTTTATTAGTATAGGTAGCAACCAATAAAGAAGCTCCCTCTACCAATTCAGACGCATGTTTATTCTGAAAGGTCTAGCCTTAGAGAAGTGCCTAGAACATCAGGAGGTCAGGAGACTTGCCCAGGGTTTATTATTGTTCGGCCATTTATCAGTCATGTTCCAACTCTTCATGATCCCATTTGGAGTTTTCTTGGCAACGATCCTAGAGTAGTTTACCATTTCCTTCTCCAGCTCATTTTACAGATGAGAAAACTGAGCCAAACAGGGTTAAATGACTTGCCCAGGATCACACAGCTAGTACACATCTAAGGCCAGATTTGAACTCAGGTTTTCATGACTCAAAGGTCAGCACCCTATTCACTTCGCCACCTAGTTGCCTAGGGTTGCCTAGCCAGTATATGTCAGAGACAGGATTTGAACCCAGGTCTTCTTGACACAAAGGCCCATCATCCACCACCCCATGATGCCTGTCATTAAAGGGCAGTAGATACCCAACAGTAAAAATGCTCCTCCAACTTAATATCTCACAGGAAAGGGAATTTTAGTGGAAAGAGAAGAGTTTTAAGAATGATGGCAGGAAAGGGAGTTTTATAACTGGTAGGTGAGTTTTCAGAGACAAAGGTGGGACGTTTTCAGGTTGCAGAGGTATTTAATGGTTTTCAGAAAGCCTAGAGAGAATTAGCGAGTGATAGGCAGGTATATATTAGTGAACTCTATGGAAACTATTTAAACTGACCCACAAAAGTTATGTATTTGCTTACTTTTTTAAGTTTGTTGATTGAATTATAGGATCATAAATGATAGTGAGAAGGAAACTTTTGTTATTGTTGTTCAGTCGTGTCCCACTCTTCATGACCCCATGGACGATAGTGCGCCAGACCCTTATTAAGACCGCTGTCTTCTGAAGTCTGGCCAATAAAGTTACCGATCCCCTAATCCAACTCCTTCATTTTAGCCCAGAGGAGCTAAGTGACTTATCCAAGGTCAAACAGATAATAAGTGGGAGAACTAGAATTCAAAACCAGGTGCTGTGATTCCAAATTCAGATAAGTAATGTACAGTGAGGAAAAACAAAGTGATACCAAAAGATTTATTCAGATATACACTTAGGGCATACTTAATACCCTTATGAAATCAATTGACAAAGAGAGAACATTGCATAACTGTTAACTCTAAAATCTGTATTTTTCCCTCTCAAACGTATTTTAAATGTTACTAGCCTGCTACCTGAGTAAAAAAGAAGATAATAACCTCCTCCAGTAGGTGTTCTTAAAGTTTTCTGTAATTTTGTCCATGTGATACCAAAACATCTGGATAAAACAATTGAAAAATTATCCAATCTCCCAGATTTTTTTTGTTGATACACTGCAAACATCTTAATGTTCAGGATCATTTGGACAAAGCACCTGCATGACTGTGGATTTTTTTTAACCTTTTATCTCAATGAAAAGTAATACCATGTCCTAATTCTCTTTGCATCTCCCTCTATGCTGAGCATGATTCTTTGCTCATGGCGTGTGTTTAATAAATTGTTGTTTACTGAATGGGTGGCTTGGTGTCACATAAGCTCAATCACAAATGATTTGTGAATATCCAAGCAATATTTAAAACATTATTTTCCTTTCATTAAAGAGTCATTCCACTATGTTTTGCATCATATGTATAATCAGTATAAAATTGCTTGCCTTCTCAAGGAGGGAGGGAGAGAATTTGAAACTTAATTTTTTTTAAATGAATGTTAAAATTTTTTTACATGTAATTGTAACAAAATGAATAAAAATATATAGGAAAAAATATCATTCCAATGGATCTTTTAGAGAAAAAGACACAGTGTTCCTTCCTGGTACTATAATTATATGATTTCATTGACTGAAATTTAATTGATGCAATTCCATATTTGGGATACTTAGAAACATCTGGCCATTTGGCAGTCTATCCAGATGACAGATAAGGCATTGTAGTATAGTAGAATAAGAAGGATTTTTTTAAGATAGCCTAGGTTTGAATCCAGGCTCTACTACTTAATAGCTGTGTGACTTTGGTCAAGTCATTTAAACTTTCTGGGCCTCAGTTTCCTCATCTATAAAAAGAAGTTGGACTAGATGATCTCTGAGGCCACTTCTAGTTCTAATTCCTATGATCCTGTTAATCTGTCCCTTCTTATTTGCTTATTGTGGCACAATACAGTAAACAAACAAACAAACAAAATTCAATCCACCTAACCAGAGAAGCCTGACTTCAGCAAAGAAAATGAGGTAATTTAATACTGGAGCTAAAATTCCCTGAAGATTGAAATAACAACACTTCTTCTAAACACTTTAGACAAGTAAACAAAAGGTAAGAAAAACAAAATACTGATTCAAATGCTATTCTGACTTTTTTTTCTATTCCAGCTTCATGAGACCAACAAAAAAGTACCAGTTTTGAGATCAAATGATATCCTAACCTATTTATGTTCAACTGATCACCTAAAGTCTGCACACCCCTGCAATGCCTAAAACACAAGAAATGGGAAAAAGTTAGCATTTCGGCTTTTGCTCAGCAATTTCCTGTTTAGAAGGTTGGATCTCAAACATAAATCTGACTGGTTATTTTCATCTGTATCTTCAAGGGTTCTCATCCATTCCCAAGGAGAGAGGTGTTATTCAAGCTACCTTTCAACGCAAATGTGAAGCAATAGCTTGATAGGTCAAATTTACTTTTTAAAGTAAACTATAGTATTAATATTGAGGTTCTTTTACCAGCTGCCCAAAAGACTTTAGGTAAAAGAATTAGAACATAAAGGAGGGGAACTTGGCCAACTTGTTTCCATAATCCAGATTTCCATCTGTAGACAGTTTCCATGCTTGTATTTCCCCTACCTCATGAAATAACAGGTTTGACCAATTCCCAATACTCCAATAAAATAATTTTTTTCTTAAAAGTCATGAAGAAGCAACCATAATAGTAAGGAGTAAAGGGTTCAATACAGCAAAAGAGAGGGCAGTTATATTATAACAAAAATGTGTTATTGGTAGGTTGAATACAATAGAAGATGAAAAGTTAATATTATAAATTTAAGCAGTTTTTTTAAAAGAACAAAATTGAAGAGGACAGAGCCAAAATGATTGTGCTTGTGCTTTCAGAAAGCAATTAAACTGGAAATGTTTCTCATTATATAAGAGTTATCATGTTAGGAAATGCTTGCTGGACAACACTTGATAAAAATGGTCATTTTTGTAACTTTTGGATTTAAGCTGAAGAGAGAAATGTTGCCATTACTGTAAATCATAGACTAAATTTTAAAATTCATGGATAAAGTATCATTTATTCCACATTTCTGCTGTCAGTTCCTTGATTATACAAAGACACATAGTCAATACATTTTAAGTCTTTACCACCCCACCTCCTTTCCTAAAATTAGAAGTCATTGATGTTCAATTCAATTGTTGATAGCTATCTATTCATAAACCAGATACAGATAAATAAACATAATGCTGAGAAGAAAATGCTATGCTTCTTCATGAGACAAAAAAAATACTCTTTTTCCATTATGATTTAAATTATTTAAAGTAGTAACTTTTAAAGCCAATTGCCCCCCAAAATATTCGCACTTTCCAGTATGGATCCTCAGCTGAGTTTTTTCCTAAGTTTACTTTCAGGTGAAATGTAGCCTGTTAATGTGTTATGTAATATATCACGTTCGTGTAAATCACATAACATGAAAATTACTGCCTCCATTCATGCAGTTTAAATTGTATATGTTGGAATTTGCTTAAAGTTCAAATAACGGAACATTATTTAGTCCTCATTAAAAGCTGGTGGCATTTTGACTATTCCTCTAAATTTTAATGTTAAGGAATCAGTGAAAACACCACGGTCACCTTAGCAATCACCAAATGGTAATGCATCTCACTTAGACGTACAGCATGTTCCTGGACATAGTTGCCATCATTTTTGTTAGAATTCTGAATTTATCTGATTAATAATGCTAAAAAAACAAGGAGCTTTGCCTTTTAAATATTTACAGGAAAATCATGTGACAAATAATTCCCTGATCACAGTATTCTAAAATGATCATACTAGGTACTTTACAGTATTATTTCTGCTTTGTTGCAAGCAATGAGATTACTCAAGGACAGCATTCCACACCCTTCAGAAATTATCAGTACTTACCTTCCCTGTGGCTTGCCAGGTAAAATTCATGGAATGAATATTAACAGGAATAACTGGCATTCTCTGTTGAGCTTTTCTGAAATCATGAGTGAATGGGGCCATTTTCCCCTCTGAAACAATCAGAATATCCTCTTCGAAACCTGTTTTTGAAAACAAACCAAAATGTGTGAACCTGTAAGAGAGAGGTCTTGTATTTCCAGAAACACCTGCCTTTCTTATCTATTTCTTTTGAAACAGCAAAGCTACAGAGATGACCATTCAATTACATGAGACAAGAGTGATGTTTAGGACTGATGTTTGCTAAGGGGGAAAAGTGTATGAGAGAGTAATGAATAAAAAGAAAGGCTGTATATACAACCACACTTAAGGGTACCTAGAAAAGTAGCGTTGAGATACAATGTAATTAAGAAACGTACTCAATGAAGTTCTCTGGGGTTAAAAAAAACAACTGGAATTTAAGGAGTTTTTCAAAGAAAAAAAAACCGTGATTTTGAAAGCCTTTGTGTAAAGTCAGTGTTGTTATAAAGACATGTCAATTACCCAAGACCTCTCTGCTTAACTGAAGTGGGAAAGGTAAAGGGCGATCTTACCTATGAGGACTCTTGCTTGGTGAGCATCAATCCACATGTACAAGCTGTCTTCTTGCTGTGGCCCAGCTTCACTCTGTAAGACAAAAAGCCACGGAAGGATGCTGCAGAGCCGCACTAGTAGAGAAGAGAGGAAGCTTTCCCTGGCCATGCTGGGCAGCGGGATTTGTTCTTGGTACTTCGCTGAAACTCTGGTCTCACGGAAACTCTCGCCTCTGTCCCACCCGCTTGAGCTTGCTGCTCGCTGCTTGCTGCGTTCGTTCTACTACTCACTCTACCCCGGCTGCTCCTCCTCGCACCGCTGAGCCTGTCTTTTGGCCTCTCCTGGCTGCTGAAAAAGCAAGGATATGAGCTAGCGGTGGGGGGGGGGCGTAGGGAAGAGGAGGGGGCGAGAGGAAGAAAGGGGGAAAGAGAGGAGGAGGGACTGCTGGAAAAAGGAGAGTGGAAAAAAAAAAACTCCAGACAGAAAATCGGAGAGAAGCAAGACAGTACCGGCTGGGAAAGGAGAGAGGGAGGGATAAGTGGGATAGCGAAGAAAATGGGATCAGAGAAGAAAAGGAGAGAGATAGAAACAGATAGAAAGAGAGAGTCAAAAAGAAACAGAGAAACAGAGGGAAAAAGAAATAGATAAAAACAAAGAGACGAACAAGGAGAGACAGAAATAGACAAAAACAAGGAAACAGAGACAAGAGTCAGAGAGAGAGAGACACACACACAGAGAAAGAGAGCTCTCACTGACTCTGGGAAAGCGACGTTAGCAACAAAGTCTCCGGGAGTAAGATGCTGGGAAACTAGAGCCAGGGGTGGCCTAGAACCAGAGGCCAGGGCTCTGGCCGCTGTTTCAGCACCTTATCGGTGGCGCAGGAGAGCCCCAAAGTTTGGCACAGACCAAGTGTGGAGGAGTGCCAAGTGCCAAGGTCGCTCGATAAAGTCTCCGTAAAGGGAAGGGGCGCAAAAGAAAGGCGAGCCTTCCGTCCCCCAAGAGGCCAGAACTGTGTTGGTGGAGGCTGTAGGTACAAACGATAAGAAACAAGTGTTCTTGGTGTTCCCACTCCTTTAGGCTAGAGTGCTCCGACCCTGGGAACTTTACTTGCTCCATTGAGGAGTTGAGAGAGAGAGAGAGAGAGAAGAGAGAGAGAGAGAGAGAGAGAGAGAGAGAGAGAGAGAGAGAGAGAGAGGGGAGAAGGACATGAAGAAGGTTAAATAATAAGATGAGACCCCAAATTTGTGGGGTGCAAAAATCCACAAGAAATAAAAACCACTGAGCTCTTCCATTCGTAGTTAAAGCCACATTCATTATCTCTGCACTTTCTGCACATCTTTGTTTTTATACAACTACTCTTTATTTAAAACAGCAGCTTTTACTTGTTTGCAAAGATTTCATCCACAGCTATTCCCCATCCCCACCCCAGCCCATTTCATTTTGCTCTACTAGAAGCAGTCCCTCTCAACTCTAGCTAGAAGAGAGACTCTGCTAAATGGGCCTCAGTTTCCTCCTCTGTAAAATGAAGGGTTTAGACACCATTCCCTCTAAAGCCCCTTCCAGATAAAACTCTAGGAATCCTGTTGAAAAGCTGGGGCTCTGCTATGTAGGACAAGCAGGCCCCCACCCCCCACTCCATGAAGTCTATCAGAACTTTATTCCAACTCCAGTGAGTCATTGGAGCATACATCTAGGGCTGGAAGGGACCTCAAAGATCATAAAGTGCAGGGGTTCTTAACCTTTTTGTGTGTCATGGACCCCTTTGGAAGTCTGGAAGTCCTCTTCTCAGAACAATGTTTTTAAATGCACAAAATAAAATATATAGGCATAAAAAGGATATCAATTATATGAAAATGCAATTATCAAAATATTTTTAAAAGAAGTTTTCAGGGCATCACGAGAAGAACCCCTGATCTAGTTCAATCACTTTATTTTTCAGTTGAGGGAAAACAAGGCTGTGACTTGCTCAATGTTATACAGCTCTTAAATAAGACAGAGTTTGAGTCTGACTCCACAGCTGATGCTCTCTCCGATATATCAGTCAATAACTCAGTCAACAAACATTTCTTATGTGCCTACTATACACCAAATTCTGTTTTAAACAGTGTAGTTCCATGGTTGTTGATAATTTTTGCTTTAAATGTTTCATATAAGAACCGAACTGCCTGAAGAAATTTCTCTGAATGCAGAACTAAATCCCTGAGCCCTACTATGTAGTAGCAAGTGCCCAGCCATCATGAGAATCCTTCAATTTGCTTGTGCTTTAATAGACTTGGAGAGAGAACATGCATAACTCAACACCACTGAAACCTTAAGGTTTAGGACAAAAACTGCATCCAAACCACAGGTGTTTTCAGGACCGTGGTGGGGAACACAGGGCCCCACAACATATACCGTACTCTTGCTTCCCTCCTGGTTCCCTGGACCTCCTCCCTCCCCCAAAGCAAAAGGAGGCTAAAGGGGTTTTTTTTAAATGTCAGAAAGTTATAGTACTGAGAAAAACCTTGTTTATTTGTCTTTGTTCTTCAGCACCCTACCTCCCCCTGGACAAATGCCACAGATCGAGTGTCTGTCTGGGTTAGAGGTTGTGTTTCACTTAGTTCTTTGTGGGAGAGTGGATCCCCAAAGAAGAAAAAACAAACAAATCCTGAAAACACAGAAGCAGGAAGCATACATTCAATAAAATAAAGGACACTGGGCCCTTGGATCACAGAAGTCATTAAACAGCCCCAAAACGGGAGGTTTTCCAATTAAGAAAATCTATTGGTCCAAGGAGAAAGTTGACTTAAGACATGTCCTCAAAACATTTCCCTTTTGACTGCATATGCACAATTTTATCATAGAATATTTTTAGAAAGAATAAAATACCATAATCCTATATTTAAGTCATCCATGAGCAAACTCAGGGTTTTTGAAAATAAATAAAATTTGTACATTTATAATGTTTTCCAACTATTCTTCCTGTAAAACAACAAAACAGGTTTAATCTGTCTTAAAATATTTCCTTTACAAGATGGAATTTTTTTTTTTACTTCAAAGAAAGTATTTTCATTTACATGATGGATTAAAAACATGTTAGGCATCTTTTAAAGGATTTTTAATGACACAGGCTCAGTCGGCACTTAGTTATATGTCTCAATATCACAAAATAACAGATTTCGTATTCAACCTTGCAGGTGCAATTTTAACTGAGAATTTTTCAGTTGACTGAGAGGCTGCCTAAGGCTCTATGGCTCTCAATGCAAGGAGGCCCTCTACAGGTTGTGCTGGTCAACTACAAGTTGATAAATTAGCAAAAAAAAATATATATGTATATATATATACATATATGCATCAAAGATTTGTCTTCTTTTGTATGGAATGAGGAACTAAACTAATTCCCAATGAACCCCCTCTAGGCATGGTTCTTTTGCAGCAGTACACTTTAATGTTACCAATTGTCAACAATAATGTAGGACAGCAGAAAGAATGCTTGATTTGAAGTCAAGGGTCCTGGGTTCAAATTCCAACTCCTTCCTTTATTGCTATATAACCTTGAACAAGTCACAACACTAACCTGTTGGTTTGAGTTCTGGGATTAAGCCGAAAAAGACTTCTTGCTGTTCCAAAGGATAACCTGTCAAATACACAAAGTACCTATGATCCTAGATTTTATAGCTGGAAGGAACCTCAGAGGATACCTAGTACAATGCTTTTGTTTTACATATGAGGAAACTGAGGCTCACAGGGGTTGTGATTTGCCTGGGCTAAGTAGTAGAGTCAGCATTTGAACCTAGGACCTCTGATGCTAAATACAATACCATTTTTATGGCATGTCATTGCCTTCCATGGAAATAGATACCATGGGGACTCCTAAGGCTTCCCTTCCCCAGGCTAAATATTCCCAATTTCTTCAGTTGATCCTCAGGCGATGTGAACTCAATGCCCTTCACTATCCTTGATGGGCACCTCTGGATTCTCTCTGAATTGTCAAAATATTTTCTAAAATGTGGCACTATGAATTGAATATCCTATTCTATGGTTAGGTGATACCATGGTGCACAGACTACCAAGCCTGGAGTCAGGAAGTTGTCCTTCAGTCATTTTGCAGTTGTGTTCAACTCTTTGAGACCCCATTTGGGGTTTTGTTGGCAAAGATACTGGAGTGGTTTGCCATTTCCTTCTCCAGTCCATTTTACAGATGAGGAAACTGAGGCAAATAGGGTTAAGTGACTTGCCCAGGTTCATCCAGCTAGTGTCTGAGGCCAGATATTAACTCAGATCTTCCCAACTTCCAGTGCTCTATCCTTTGCTCCAGAAGACTTGAGCTCAAATCCAGCCTGTGTGACTAGCTGTGTGACTCTAGGTAAGTCAGCCTCAGTTTCCTCAGCTGTAAAATGTAAATAATAAGAGCACCGACCTTACAATATTTTTATGAGGATCCAATGAGATCCAATGAGGGCTTAGCACAGCACCTGGGCATATAGTAGGTGCTATATAAATTATTATTCCTTTCTCTTTTTGTCCACATACAGTCTAAAAAGCATAGACTATGGTAACACTATCACCTCCCCAACACTAGAGACAACATCTCTTAATATGGCCTAAGAGCACATTGTTTTGTTTTGTTTCTGACACAGTTGAGTCATACTGAGCTTTCAGTCCACTAAAACCCTCAGATCTTTTTTTTCAGATGAATTATTATCTAGTCATGCCTCCCCTTCTTGTTTTTCAACCTCGCATTTAATCCTATTCACATTTATTCAAGGTTATCAAGATAACCAATATTCTAACTTAACAAGACCTTTCTAGACTCTGAATCCATCATCCAATATATTAGCTACCACTTCCAACTAAGTATGTGTCATCTGACACATGTGACCAGCATGCCTTCTAAATCTTTACCGATAAAAATGTTAAGCAAAAACCCCTCCAAATACCTATTAAAAATGGCTCTAACAAATTCTAAAGCAGCAGAACCCACAAAAAGACAGAGTGAAACAAATTTCCAACCCAAGACAACCTGGATGATTGATCAGAAAGGTGTATCATGCCAGGCTGGGAGAGGATCATAGTGTGGCATGGGTGCACAGGCTTCTGGGAACCTGGAGCAGGCCTCAGAGAACTGAATCGAGGGCAGCTGTGGTGGTTTCCAGACTCCTCATCCAGGAATGCCAAAGACAATTTAGAAGGTCAGTGGGAAAAGTTTGTTTCTGTGGTGCTGAGAGAGGAACGCAGGGTCTCAGATCCAGTTCGCCAAGAGTGCGGCTCTGGGGTGCAGCTGCCTCCTGAGCTTCTATCCCACAGACTGAGGGGGAATCCAGTGGCTGATCAGAGAGGGATTGCAGGGATT